AAGCCAAAGCCTGGCGGCAGCCTGCCCACAAGGGCTCCAGGCGGCCAGGCCCCAGGGCCCTGACAACTGCAGGCCCAGCAGAGGGACGGGGTGGGGCGGGGGAGGGGGCACACGTATGGGAAGGAGCCTCTTGCAAAGCGTAATGATCCCGGTAATTAATCGTTTGTTAACAGACCTCCCCCGGCACAGGGAGGCAGCCGGGGCTTTCACGGCTATTAGAGGGCGGCCCTAAAACACAGGGAAGAGGGAACGAGCCCCACCTGCCGGCAGCCCCCCACAGCCCCCCAGAAGCCCCCACAGCAGCCCCCTCAGCAGCCCAGACGTGCAGAAAACTGCAGTCACTGCGCAGGGGCAGGGGCAGGCGATGGCGGGACTGACACACCTGCAGGAGGGGAGACTGGAGCTGTCGGGGGGGAGGGGGGAAGGTCAGAGGACAAACACCTCTGAGATGGGGGTGGGGGGGCAACATGAACGGCCTGAGACAGGAACCGGTCCCTGCCAGAGCGCTGGCGGGACAGGGAGGGTGTGCCAGGGCTGGGAGTGGGGCCCACGTCCTGACTCCCACCCAGCACCATGGGCTCCTGTCTTCTCCCAAAACTAAGGCTTAAAGGAGGAAGAGGGAACAGAAGAGGTGAGACGCAGAGAGTCCGGCTGTCAGAGGGTGAGGAAGAGAGACCACGCAACAGTGACCAAGAGCACTAGGTGGCCGCTGACGACATCAGGCAAAAGCTGAGCCTTTAAACCAGTGGTTCTCAACCTTCCTGATGCCGTGACCCTTTAATACAGTTCCTCATGTTGTGGTGACCCCCAATTTCATTGTTACAAATTGAACATAATTAAAGCATAGTGATTCATCACAAAACAATATGTAATTATATATGTGTTTTCCAATGGTCCGAGGCGACCCCCAAAGGGGTCGCGACCCACAGGTTGAGAACTGCTGCCACAAAGAAGGACGTTTAAAAATGGGAGCACGGTTAATCCGCCAGGGAGACATAACCGTTATAAACAGACAGGAATATAACCCGGAAATGTATAAAAACGATCAGACATCCTTACCAAGCAGGCTTTGCCCCAGGCATGCCATGCTGATTCAACATATAAAAAATAAATAAAAAATAAATCAACATAATGTCCCATATAAATGAAGGACAAAGGCCACATGAACACCTCAACAGAAACAGAAAAAGAAGACATTCCATGTTCATGGATACAAAGACTTGATACTGTCAAGGCGTCAAGTTCTTCCCAACTTCATCTACGAGCCAATGCAATCCCACCCCAAACCCCAGGAGGTTAATTCGTGGATCCTGACAACCTAATTCTAACGTTGACATGGGACAAAAGATGCAGAGCCGCCAGGCTGATATCGAAGGAGAGGACAAAGCGAGAGGCCTGCTGCTACCCGACCTCAAGACTCACTGCAGAGCTCCAGTGACCAGGGCAGTGCAGTATTGGCAAAGGGACAGGTGAAGTGACGGGACAGACGAGAGCCTAGAAACAGGCCCCAACATACAGTCCAAGAGCGTGGACAAGGGAGCAGAGGCAACACCGTGGAGAAAAGACGGTCTTTTCAACAAATGGTGCTGGACATCCACATGCAACAAAAACAAAACACAACAAAACGCCCGGCCGGCATGGCTCCGTGGCTGAGTGTCGACCTATGAGCCAGGAGGCCACGGTTTGATTCCCGGTCAGGGCACAGGCCCAGGTTGGGGGCTCCATCCCCAGTGGGGGGCGTGCAGCAGGCAGCCAATCGATGATTCTCTCTCATCACTGATGAGCTTCCATCTCTCTCTGAAATGAATAAAAATGTATTTTGCAAAAACAAAACAAAAACAAACATAGACCTTACTCCCTTCACAAAATTAACTCAAAATGGATCCCAGGCCGTAAAATGCAAAACTATAAAACGTCTAGAAAATGACCCTGGAGAAAATCCAGGTGACCCTGGGTTTGGTGGGGAATTTTTAGACACAACACCAAAGGCACAACCCACGAAAGAAAGAACTGATAAGCTGGACCTCATTCAAGTTACGAAATTCTGCTTCGCAAAAAATATCACCAAGAGAATGAAAAGATAAAACGGTGGGAAACCTGCAAAAGATACCACTGGCCAAGGACCGTTACCCAAAATAATAAGGAACTCTTACAGCTCAACGTCGGGAAGCAAACAGCCCGACCAAGAAACGGGCCCGAAACCTTGCAGCACCTCAAGGAAGACGTCCTGACGGCAAGTGAGCGCCTGAGAAGACGCTCCGCGGGGTCACGGGGAAAATGCGAGTGAAGCAGGTACACCTCCCACCCGAGGACACCCCGCACCCCGAGTCCAAGGCACCGACTCCACACGGGAGGCGGGGAGCAGGGAGCTGTCACCGCCGGGGAGTCGGTGCGCAGCAGCCACTCGGGGACACGGCTTGACGGCTCCTCGCAAACGAGACGGTCTCTCACCGTCCGGCCCAGGTGTTTGCCCAGAGGAGCTGGAAGCTGGTCCCCCCACAAACCCGCACACGATGTTTGCAGCAGCTTTATTCGTAGCGGCCACAGCTTGGCCACGAGATGTCCCCCGGGGGGTGCAGGACAAACTGCGTCCGTCCGGGTGGTGGAACGCTACGGGCCCCAGGGAGAAAGGCGCTCTCAGGCCAGAGGGAGCGGGCGGACAGCCCGGTGACGGCGGCAGCGACTGCTCCTGTCCACCCTCTACTTCCCTGCGCCCAGCCAGCTCCCAGTCTCATGGGTCCGGACTGGGCTCCTTGATTCGCCAAGCTGGGTCGTGGGCCCGCCCAGCCCCTTCCCCGGGGTGCAGATGGCGGGGGGCCTCTGCCTCCCAGAACTGCCCCTCGTCCGGCAGCTGAGGGGGCGGGTCAGGCCCCGTTGGCTGAAGGTCACTCTGCACCGCTTTGGGGGCCCCTCCTTGGAAGCAGCACACCGGGGCCCACGTCACCAGCCCGTTTCTAGGCTCTCGTCCTGTCCCAGGAGGGGCTCCGCAGGCTCCCAGCTCTGCCCCCCGCTTCCTGGAGCCTCAGTCTCCCCACCCGCGGGTCGGCCGAGCCTCTCCGGCAGCCCTGCCCCAACTTACCCATCAGGCTCTGCCGCTCCTCCTTCTTCCGCGCCTTCTGCTTGGCCTCCAGCTGCACCACCGACAGGGACGGCCCCACCGTGGGGCTGGGCAGGGCGCTGGCTGCGAAGCGGGCCAACAGGCCCAGCCCGCTCTCCTCCAGGCCTGGCGACAGGGCTCGGTCCCGGGCGCCCAGCCTGTAGCCTCCAGCCTCGTCCTCCTCGTCCTCCAGCTTGTCCTCGCCCTCGTCCTCGGAGCTCTCATCTGGTGCAGAAAACAGGGGTCAGAGCCTCACGGGGCTGCGCCGCCCGCCCCCAGGCGCAGGAGCACCGGTCTCGTTCCTCACTCCTCACCAGGTGGGGGGCGGGTCCCCCCACGGCCCAGCGCCCCATCTATGTGAGCCCAAGCCGTGGGCATCCGATGGCCCAGAGTGTGCAGCGGCTTTGGGCGTCAGAGTGGGTTTCTGTCAGGGACGGCAACATGCACGTGTGCTGTGGGGAGGACACGGACAGGACTGCAGACGGCTCTCCACGGTCTCACACGCACACACACACCCGAGAAGGCTGCGGAAGGAGGCAGGACAGGACAGAGGACAGAGGAGGCCGAGGGAGGGAGGAGAGGGTCTGGGGGGGTGGATCTGGGGGCTCAGGCTGGGTTTCCGGGCACAGGCACCTGGCAGTTTGGGCAGCTGGAGGCCTGGGGGCTGGTGGCAGGAGGAGGTGGAGTTTGGTCCCTTCTTGGGGGGAGGGGACACCCACAGTTGAAGCCCTGAGCAGCTCTGGGGTCCGAAGCTGGCTCCCAGTGCCACCCCCTCTCTGGGCCATCTACCACCCAGAGCCCTACTTCCTCATCTGCGGCACAGGGTGACCCTCCAGCCACCCCGGTCAGGGAGGGTCTGAGCAGGACCGCACATCTGTAGGCGCAAGCACGGTGCAGGCACCAAATTAGACATGCAGAGCCACCCTGTCCTGTGGAACCTCCCGCCACTGAGGGGGGCAAGCGCCGGCCTGGCCTCTGGACCACGGCGGGTGGGGAAGGGGCAGGCCGGAAGGGTGCGGGCGGGTTGCTCTGCACCAGGAGACAGGGGCTCAGGGGCTCAAGTGCTCAGGCAGAGAGGACTCGAACTGGGGCTGGCTGGCTGTCCTGCCTCCCAGTGTAGTGGGAACACGCTAGAGAAGTGCCTGCCTGTGTCTCCAGCTGGTGCCTGGATGTGCCAGCGGTCGCCAACCTTTCCGACCTCACGGACCACCAGTGGTCTGCGGACCACCGGTTGGTGACCTCTCCCAGGACCAGGCCTTTGGGACAGAGGCGGGCGGGCCGAGGGGCAGGGGTGGGACATGCTCCCACACAGGAACCTCCACCAAGACTCGGTCTGGAGATACAAGCTTGCACTTCCCAGGCTAACCAGGGGCAGGTGGGGGGCAGATGCCGTGCCCAGGAGCCCCGAGGGACCTGCCCGAGGGTGCTCACCTGCTCAGAGCTCTGGGAGTCTGAGGGTCCCTGGGGGCCTCGGGCCAGGCGAGGCTAGGGTGGGAGATGGTGTCTGGGGCGGGGACAGTCTGGGCGGGGCCAACTCCATGTTCTCCTGCCAGCGCCTCAGGCCACCTGCTGGCTTGAGTGCAACCAGTGGCCAAATGTGGGTGCCCTGGTGTGCCGGTAAGGCGGAGGCTTTCCACCCACCCCCTGATCGGAGGGAGCCCCGTTTCTGCTGAGTGACCCCTGGGTGCGGGAAGGGGTGATGAGCTTAAGGGATCTGAAAGGGAGTGAGAGGAAGGAGGCAGAGAGCGGGATTGTGTTAGGGTGAGCGGGAGGCGGGCTCGCGAGCGATGGATGAAGCGGATGGAGGCAGCGGGCAGGCGGGCGGCAGGCAGGCAGTGCACACTTGCGGTCCATTCACAGTGCGGACGTCACGTTCTGTCTCCGCCCCAGCGGGCCACAGCGGCAAAGCAGGCTAAGTGTAGGCAGACTTTCGGCAGCACCTGGGTCCCCCACATCAGGTCCCCTGGGGTGGCGGTGGGGGCTGGCTGGCTGGGGACTCGGGGACGGACAGGGGCCAGCCTGCCCTTCTGCGGCTGCTCAGGTGTGGAGGCTCCAGAACCCGCTGCCCCCGGGGTCTCCACCGCAGGGTCCCGCGGGGAGGGCTGGCTCTGGTTTCTGGATGTCGGAGCGTCCGCATCAGATCCCAGAGAGCCAGCGCAGCCCCGTCCCGGCACCCTGAGCTGGAGGAGTGTTCGAAAGGCAAAAGCCAAAGGAAGGGGTGTGCCCGTCACAACTGGGGCCACAGGTCCCGTGGTCTCCCAGGGCCTCCCGCCTCCCCTCAGAGCCTGGCCGGCCGCCCTGGCTGCCTCCCGCTGGCTGTGGCGGGGGATCGGGCTGCAGGGCAGGGGGACCAGGGATGCCTCTCGGAGCTGTCCACACCTGAGGCCACAGCTTGCCAAGGGCGGGGAGCAAAAGCCCCCAGGGATATGCAGAGGAACTTTTATTTAAAAAAACAAAACCAACAAAAAATACCCCTCCTGGCTCTGTGTGTGGGGTTGGCTGCTGTGACTTGGTTTCCAAACCCTGATGGATAAATGCCAAAGCGACCCGCTGCTGCCATCGCCGAGGGGGCAGCCCCGAGGAGGGAGGAGCAGGGGGACACGAAGAAGAGGGTGTGCCTACCTACGGACCAACGAGCCAGGCTCGACCCCGGCTCAGTGACCCGCGGCGCCGTCTGCCCTACTCCCAGCCTTCGCTTTGCGTCCGAGTGCAGCGTGAGAGCAAATGCAAGAGACCAAAACAGACATTCAAAGCATCATGGGTAGGGGTCAGGGGTGAAGGTATGGTCAAGCTGCTGGGGGAGAAAGCAGACACACTAGAAAAGCCAAGCCAATTAGGGGTTTAGTACCAGGTGTCAGTAAGGCCGTTACGCAAATATCCCTGTGGAGACCTACCTACCGGCCCCTGCGCAGTGGGCCCTCCCCTCCCCCCACTCCCCCTCTCTGTCCTCGGCCGCATCCAGTCCTGGTCTGAGGTCCCGGGGCAACGGCCCCGTAGTGGACCCAGGGGACTGCCGGCTTCTCTACGGAGTCTGAGCTGAGGCAGGGGAGCCCCAAAGCTCGGAAGCTGGTGCCTGGCTTTAAGGGGCAGGGGAGTGTGTGGAAGGGAGGCGGCTTGGGGGTCCAAGTCCAGGGGAGAGGAGGAGGAGGAAGGTGGGGAGGGTGGTGGCAAACCAGCCAGGAGGGTCCACGTGACCAGGATGGAGGCGGCCTCGGGAAACCAGGCTGGCTGGCAAGTTGCGCAGGAGAATGCGCGCCCCAAGGCCACCTGGCTCCCTGCTGTGCCATCTGCCAGTCACCCAAAATGGATCTGGGCCATCCAGAGGGGAGGCGTGGGAGGAGAGGTGGACTAGGAGTGAGAGAGAGAGGCTGGAATCGGGCAGCGCTCGGATCTCAGGGCTGAGCCAGGTCCGGTCCCAGCGGCTCTGACATGCCTGGGCCTCCCTTGGGGGCATTGGGTCTCGGCTCTGCCCCCCAGGGGATGCCACCCGGGAGCCGGGGTCCCTGTGCGGATCCACCCGGAGCAAACCCTTACCCAGGCCAAGGCGCCCCGGAGCCTGCTGGCTGGGGCGTGACTCTGACCCTGTTTTGTAAGCGAGGCCCCGGCTGAGCTGGACTCGCGGGCCATGCCCTCTCCACAGCGCTACACTTTGCCCCTCGCTGGCAGGTGATCTTGGCCCTGCACTGCCTACCAGCTCCTCCTGGCGGAAACGTGTTAGGAAACGGGTTGTGAGCATTTTTAAAGCACTGATGCAGAGGCATTGAGCTTTAGGAAAATAACAGACAGACAAGCAGCTAAAAAAAAAAAAAGATGATGCTGGAGGTGAAAGCGTTGACTTTAAACCCAAACATGAAATGCATGCCAGCAGCCCCCGGGGATATCTGAACAAGAGGGAAAAGCAGCGACTGGTTACTCCGTCTCTACCCCTTACGGGTGGGGGAGGAGAGGGGGGGGACAAACGAGGGCAGCGGCACCTAACGGTCTAAGTGAGGACACAGCAAGAGAGACGAGGCACACGGGTTTAGTTAAAAAAGAACTCGATATGTTTAATAAAGCTCGGTGTTACCAAAATCCCGGTACAAACATCAAGTCACACGCCCACACGACAGTTCCATTTACAGAACGTCCCTGGGAGACCCCGGCCTGCGGTCCAGGGGACAGGGAGGCCAGAATGGGGGGCGGAAGGGGGGGGTGGAGGAAGGTGAAGACTAAAATCAGTCCGTATAACAGCTCAAAAAGAGCCAGCCGTGGTTATCACAATGATACAGGCACAAATGCACCCGGCAGAGGCTGTACGGCAGGCTACGCTGCCAAGACCCCAGACGGCCGCCCAGCAGCGCCATCGCTCGCACCCGCACCTGGCTCGCTCTCGCACGCTCACTCACTCTCTCTCTCTCTCTCTCTCACTCACACTCTCGCTATAAAACACGGAAGGGGTGTGTTTGGAGCTAGTAACCTTGGTCAAACGAGTCCTCCGAAGAATCGCTGAAGGAGGAGCGGGCCTCGACCTCCTGCAGCAGCAAACAGAACGGCTGCTTCCTGCCCGCCAGCTTGGGCTTCAGAGTCCGGGCGGCCGCCAGGCCCCTCTTGGGCAGCTTGGGGCCCCCGGGCGGCTTGCTGCTCTTGGCCACCATGCCACACAGGAGGGACGATGTCAGCTTGGAGCCGGAGGGGCCTTGGGCGGACCACTCATCCTTCAGGAACTCCTCCTCCTCCTCCGAGTCCGTATCTGCAGTCAAGCAGTTCGTCATAAGGTAAGTCAGGGGCGGGGGGGAGGGGCTGGTGTCTGTCTGGTTACGCAGTGAGCGCCCTGGTGCTGCAGCACAGAGAGGCCCAAGGCCTACTGGCGGTGGAGCAAGCGACGGGCACCTCTCGCCTGGGAGCCGCGGGCACCGCACACAACACGGTCACCTGGGCACACCGCCCTCCCAGGCCACGGAGGTCACCTCGGGCCCCGCTATCCCACAGGACGGCACCAGCCCAGGGAGCGGCGGTCCCAGGAAGGGAAGGGCTCATGTACAGCTCCCCTTCCCCTCAAGTGCCAGCTCCCAGGGGTGCAGGCCGGCGCGGGCACTCAGCCGTGCGCACCTCTTCCCCCTGCCGCTCAGCAGTGTCACAGTGGGGGCTTGAGACAGGCCAGACAGAGTCCCACCAAAGACACTGGCAAGTGAGGCTCCTAAATGCTTCCTGTTTTCCTACCAGAGAGCCGGTCACCCCCCCCTTGCTGCTGGCACCCCAGTCTCGGCCTCACTACTGGGCAAGGCCAAGATCGCCAGCTCAGGAGGACCCCAGGCTCTGGGGAGGGAGCCGTCAGGTGGGCACAGCTCTGGCCGCTCCGCCCCTCACACACACACAGTTCTGAGCCGTGTTACATGTGGGCTGTTGAGCAAGACCTCACGGAAGAAAGGGCTGCAGCCAGAACCTGCTCCCTTAACCCGGCCAGGTCTCGAGGACGAGCCCGGCCAGGCCCCTGGCCGCAGCTCTGCCTCCTGTGAGCTCCGTCCCAAACTGGGTAACAACGGCCAACCTGGCTTCCCACCGGGCACGCCACCCACCCTACGCCCCCGAAGTGACAGGGCAGGAGGGCAGGGCTCTCCCCTCCCGTCTCCTGCGGGGGCAGCACAGCTCCCAGCGCACCCCCGGCCTCCGTGACTCGCTCTCCTTCACCCAGGCCGCGGAAGGGCCCAGCTGCACGCCTGCACCACCTCACCCGCAACAGGCCTCTGGCCTCCCTGTCGCAATGCCAGCCCACCTCCCTCACCCGGACGGCGAAGACGCAACCGAGTCAGACTGGCAACTTGAACGTGGCTCGTGCACGTGCACACAGCAGCTCGGACTGGCCCCGGGTCTCAGGGACCCAGCTCAGCCCTGGCCTCTAACTACCACATCCAGTGGGAGTGGGGGAGGGGGGACTCTTCGGGCGACCAGCCAGGCCACGTCCAGCAGCCCTCGGCCGGGAAAGATTCAAGGAGCAGCAAGCCTCCTGACCCCTCTTCGTTCCAGACCCAGCGGGGTGGGCCGTGGGGTTAAAGGCCTCCCATCCTCCTTCGGGGCAATGAGTCTCTGAAAGCGGCCGGGGCCTGGGCAGCGCGGCCAGATCACACCTGCGGGCCGAGGGGGCACACGCGGGCTCAGCCTCAGCACCGGGGGCTGACGACCTGCCTGCCCCACGACCACCTGAGACCCAGCCCTGAACACCCACTAGACCCGGGTCACCGAGCGCCAAAAGCAGCAGCGCTCCACCTACAAGGCGCACGCCCGCTCCTTACCAGCCCGACTCCCTCCAGCTCGCCACAGCCCCGCAAGGTCCGACCCAACTGTCCTTTGCCCAAGAACACACACTTGCTTGTAACACGAAAGGTGCCCGTCCGTGCGCTGGACAGTGAAACGCCATCGCCTCGCGGCCCCAGGAAGAGCCCATCAGAAGCCCAGGCGCAGACCCAAGCCGTCACCAGCAAAACAGCCTCCACCGCCCACAGCCGGGCCCTGCCCAGTTTTTTTTAGTTTTATTCATTTCAAACGGCCTGGATCCTGCCCGTGCTCCGTAGTTTGCCCATGGCTGCATTAGAGGATGACTTTCCAATCCCGAGCTCCCAGGTGCTCCCGGGCTCAGCCGCCGTCGGCATCAAGCAGCGACCGTCCTGGGCCTGATCCTGGCCCGACTCCCCCACCCAGCGCGGCCGACCACGCGCCTCAGCATCTATCTTCAGGGGCAACACGGCGGCCGCCTGGAAGGCCGTCACAAGGACAACGTGAAATGCCGCCCGCACAGCCCTCCATCCGGCTCTCGGCCTGGTGAGCGCCCATTAGATGGTCACACCAACCCTCGTCAAGGAGGGTGGGAACCGCCTGCGGACTGGGGAGGGGGGATCCTCTCTATGGTTATGGGCGGCCGCTCTAAGCAGGGCAGCCGGAAACTCTGTGGCGGAAGGCCAGCGCCAGTGGCAGGCGGACTTCCGCCCCCACCACCAATCACTGGTGGCCGCCCAATAGGGCCGCAACCACTGCAGGCACTTCCGCTTCAGGGGGACCCACTTCCGGTCTGGCGCCAGTGCAGAGAAAGAAAAGCCCTCGGAGAACCCCAGACAGAGGAGAGGAGCCAAGCAGCGGCCCGGAGGCGGCCGGCACCCGCTACTTACTGTAGGAGCAGCTGCTCGCTTCCGAGGCGAACGGGGAGGGGGCCGACTTGGGCTGGCCGCGGGCCTTGAAGCCCACCTCCATCTTCCTGGCTTTGGCGGCCCGTTTGTGTTTACCTTCTCTGGCGGCTTTGAGAGACAGGCCGAGGCCTTTGGCCAGCGCCCTCCTGTCCTTGCCCAGCAGGCTGTCATACGGCGTCAAGTACCGGCCGCAGCCCGCGCCCGGCTTGGGCTTCCCCCCACAGCTGTCCGAGAACTTGAAGGGGGACTTCAGCTTGTCCTGCTTGGTGAGGGAGAGGGCCTTGTCCAGCTTGCTTGCCAGCTGCTCCTGGTCACTGGCCATCTTCTTCTTCTTGATCTTCAGCTGGAGAGGGGAGGGGGACGTCCTGGGTTAAGACACTGGACCCCAGTGGGTCTCCATGGACAAGCGTGGACGCACCCTCTCTGCCTCTGTGGTTTCTGACAAACTGCTTCACTCCTCTCAGCCTCGACTCTCCTACTCTGTGAAATGGGGATAGTGTGGACCGGCACCCACCAGGTTGCTCTGAAGAGGAACCGAGATGAGGCACACGGAGCACCGAGCCAACAGCCAGGGCCAAGGACCACGGGCTCTGGCGTTCCCGCCCTGGTGTTCCCGCTCTGGGGTTCGCACTCTGGCTCTCCCGAGCTGCCTGGCGCCTCGCAGGGAAGCACTCGGAGAACCAGCGCTGCCAATGAGCCGGAGGAGCCAGCTGGATTAAGGGAGGGGGGCGGTACCCAAGATCGAACACCCAGATCACAGCCCGGCTGATCTGCTTATCTCAGCCACCTAAAGCGGCTGGCGCAGAAGCCTACGCCGCCAGCCCATCCAACTCCAGAGGCCGCAGCTGCCAAGAAAATGCCCGGAGCGTGCCTGGGTGCCTGGAGCCGAGATTAGAGATTCCAAAGATTAAGCTCCTGCTTCCCCTCTCATCAGCTGTAGTCATTTGTGGTTGAAGTGAAATGGGCAGTTTCCATTCATGCCCCTCATTTGAATATTTTATCTCGATTTTCTTTCATCAGGTCACATCTCATAAGGAGAAAAAAGTTGGGATAAGCATCGTTTAAACAACTAAAGGGCCCTTCGCAATGTGAGCGTCTAAGGCAGGTGCTGGCGTGCTCACTGGCTCTCTTCCCGCCCCCACACCCCGCACCCCGGCGGAGCGCTTCCCTCTGAGGGCTTCCCAGGAGGGTGACCGGGTACTGAGGACCGAGGCCTGGGTCTAAGGGGTGATTTCAGTGCTCTGCAGAAAGAAGGAAAATCAGGAGTTGGCTCTCAACCCATTACCTCGGAGAGCTCACCGAGGACATTACAACGGCATCAAGCCCTTGTTTCTTGGAACGACAGAACGGTGAGGCCGCACATTAAGCTATTACACTGTTAAACAGCATCATCGCGTTATCTGATTAAAAACTCGCACCTTCAGTCTCAGCTCTGCTTGAGGCTGCGTTACTTTGGTCAGTCTCTGGGCCATAATTTTCTCTGGACAAGAAGGCAGCTTCGAGACACTAAGGCAGTGGTTCTCAACCTTGGCTGCACATGAGGATCACCTGGGAATCTTGTTAAAATCCTGATTTCTGGGCCTCATCCTCTGGAAATTCTGTTTTTTTGTGACTCATGTTGTGGCCCCACCCCATAACAAAGACACAGAATTTCCGGAGGATGAGGCCCAGAAATCAGGATTTTAAAAAGGTTCCCAGGTGATTCTCATGTGCAGCCGAGGTTGAGAACCACTGCTCTAAGGCAACCATTCCTACAGCTTCTCTGCAGCAGGAGGGCTGCCCGAGGTGGGCGACGGGCTACTCACCTGAGTCATGAAGTCCGACGGGGCTTCGTGCTCGTCCCAAGGCTGGCTCCTCCCCATCGCTTTCCCCGTTCCCACGAGGGCGTCGTGTTCCTCCTCAGGCCCCTTGTGTCTCTTCCTCATGCCGGCTCCCAGCTCGTAGGCATCCGATGTCAGCAGGGGCTTGCTGCTCAGCCTGCAACCAGAGGCACCGCCGGTCAGCACCCTGTCGGGCAGCACCCAGGGCTGGGGTCCGCCCTCGTGGCCCCAAGGGTGGGCTCCGGGTGGTGAAGCACAGACGGTGACCACACAGTGACCAGTCTGGGGAGACGGATCCTGTGAAACCATGGGGCTGGGACTCTGGGATATTTGTGAATGGGAAAGAATAAAAACTCCCAGGCAGGACCCTCTGCTGGCCTTTCTCTCCCATGTCCCTTCACACACGCTCACACACACAGCTCTGCATGGTCAGACGCCGCTTTAACCAAAATGTGCCAAGAGCAAGGACCAGAAATGCCAAGGAAATCCGCCAGCCAGGGAGGGCGACCGAAGTCAAGAGCTGACATGAAGGCAGCCCCGGGCGGGTCTCCGCACCCTTGGGAGCGTGCGCACAGCCGGCCGGGTCCTGTCGAGGACTTCTCGTGGCTGCTCTAAGCTCACCCCCTCACAAGTAATAACAGTAAGAGCAGCTAATTGTTTCCTGGTGCTACTCGGTCTCCAGTAGCACCTATGTGCTATGTTGTTGTTGCTGCTAATCCTCACCCGAGGGTATTTTTCCATTGATCTTTTAGAGAGAGTGGAAGAGAGAGGGAAAGACAGAACATCGATGTGAGAGAAACACATCCACTGGTTGCCTCCTACATGAGCCCTGACCAGGGCCCGGGCCGGGGAGGAGCCTGCAACCAAGATACGTGCCCTTGACCAGAATCCAACTCAGGACCCTTCGGTCCGCAGTCTGACGCCCTACCCACTAAGCCACACTGCCCAGGGCAATGTACTATGTTTTACAGAGTCTGAGGCCTGAAAGAGCCAACACCTGGCCAAGGCAGGCGACGGTTGGAGCTGGGGCTCAGAAGGAGGAAGCGCGACCCCCCAGGCACGGTCCTACCCCGCGGGATGCCTGTTGCCGCCCGCCCGCTCGTGGCAGACACCCCCACCCCCACCCCTGACTCCGGGGCCTTATGAAGGCATCCCGCGGCCCTGTGCTCCCTCAGGCCAAGCCCCGGCCACCTAGCGTCGCCTGCACTGAAGTCGCGGGCTGAGGCGCACGCCACCTCTTCCCCAAATGGGCCTCCTTCAGCTCCTGCTGCTCCGGCACCGGGAGACCACAGCATCCTTCCTACCCGCCGGCCGCAGGAAAAGCTCTGGGTCCGGCCCGCCTTCAAGACGCCCCGAGGGGCCACACGAACTCCCCTGCGGCTCGCGGAGCTGGTGCCCAGAGTGCACGGAGGAGGTGGCGCGGGTCACCCAGGAGGGCGGGATGACACCGCCCGCATGAAGAGAACCGGAGAACCGAGTGACCGCACAGGCCGGGGCGCACACCCAGGACCGGTCTCAGGGGCCTCCACGGGGAGGGGCAGGACAAGCGCGGGAGTTGGTCGCGAGCCACGGAGGAAG